TCTCAACATTTGCCGGAGGCGCAGACTGGAAATTGATTCGTGAGTGAATCTGCTTTTAGACGCAGTCTGTGTATCTGTTTTCAACGGTTAGTTTTGTATGTGTAAGTTTTGTTATATTTTTTTTCTAGGTATTCTCCTCCTCAAGTTTGCCGTAAAGTCAAGATTCAAGATATAGTGAAGAAATACCGGCACCAGTATTCAGTGCCTGATTTTTACGTGTCGCTGTTCCGCAACGGGGTTAACTAGGAACAGATTATAAAGTTGTTAAAACGTGTCATTTTTTTTTTTATGTAAATTGCTACTATGTCAGCTCAAAGAGTAATGACTCCTGAGGGCCTAGCAGACATTAAGTTTCTTAACAAGAAATACTAAGTGGAATACTCAAGGAATACTCAGTGGCCGAAAGAGTCAGTTCTCTCCAAAGAACCGACCTGTAATGGTTGTCGGTTTCTTCTTTATTTTGATTTGTCAACATATGTAAGCCTGAGATATCGTCATTTTTAACCCAGTTTCAGTTGGTCAGGATGTTTGTGCTTTGTTTCGCTCGTTTTAGTCTCGTATGTAATTTGTCGTTATCACAAGCGATACCTTCGTTTCTTAAGATTGTAGCTTATCCCGAAAAATGAAACGTTTCAGCCTGGCAACTAGTGACGTTTCCTCTCATTTTCCATTTTCGAGAATGGTTGCCAAGCAACAGAGACGTGTTCACTTTCGGAGTGTTTGCCATTCTATACGTTATCATTCTTGGTAAATCAGCTCGTGTCAGAAATCCTGAAGGTATTCCAAAGCCTTATCTGATAGCCAGATAGAACACTGATTTCATCATCGGACGTTAATAGTAGTTACGTCATTCTCGTAAGAGGCCGCGCTTTTTTTGGCCAGCGCCAAGACTCGCGACCTCTGGCCATACTTGATTTCCTGAGCAAGCGCAAAGTATTCGTTTCGTATTCTCAGCCAATCAGATTTGCCCGATTTTACGGGAAGTCCGTGAATCGAGGCCTTATGCTTTTGGTCCTGCTCAGAGGTCGCGTTTCTTTCTGCCGACCAAAAGGGGCACGAACTCTTGGGACGAGAATGTAGCTCCGCGAGATACTGATGTGTTAACCGCGTTAGCCGTTTAATTTTAAGAAAAAATAAAAACACTAATTATTTAGAGTCAGAATAATCTACTACAATACTGTCTGCATAGCATGGCTAGGGAAAATGTGTCAGAAATAGCAAGGGAGCCAGCTGAAATGTGCCGTCTTTAGGAATCACGTAAACAATTTGCATCATACTGTGAGGACTGTCATAAAAAGGACTATTCTACGAAGATTTATAAAAAATGTAACCATTTCAGTCGACTTAATAACGAAGAAGCGTTATTGGATAGTGTTAAAACAGTTACACTGTTCATATGTAACCTTAAAATATGGTGAAAAGTAACTTACGTACTTTGCTTAATAAAAATAGTTCTCTATATTACCAAAGAGGAATATTTCAAAAATACTTTTTAACTGGGACTGTAACGTGGCCGGGCCAGTGATGGTTTTGGATAATCATAGAACGCTTCATCCGAAGCGTTACCTATTTTCCCATTGATTTAATTGGTAACATTATGATCTTGCTGTCAAGTTAAAATCTTTTTATGATTTTGACGGCGTGGTATGAGACAAGTATCTTCGTTCTCAAACGAATACATGCTTGCTCTTTTTGCTTCTGTGTAATCATTTTTCGTTTTGTTTTGTATTTGCTTTTTGTTCTTGATGCTGTACTTGTTTTGACATTCATTTAGGATGAATATATTTTTTCTTCTTATGGGGTACATTCCAGTGGATCTTACACGGAGAACGTAATAGGCGTCCCATGATGCCGTTCGTACGTGTTTTCAACATGGCCGCGCGGCACGCGAGATAGGAAAGAACGAAAAAATCCAGCATGTTTCGTACAAGTTTGCTTTTAAATTTACGAATTTTACAGGGAAGGAATGCTGTGGTGTTATTCTCCCATGTTAACAGATTAAGTCCTCGCTTGGTGAGGGTTTCCTCGTCGGAGACTAAAAGCAGTCCAAAAAGAAACAGTGACCCCCTCATTTCTCTGCTAGACCGCACGAAAAGTGATGGAACAAATAGAAATTTGCTGGAAACGTTCGAATATTTGCAGAGGGAGCACAGGAAAAAGCCGACGGGAAAAAAACTGGTCCGTTCCTTTGGCATCGTGCGAAAAATACAAATGGAGGCCGATGTGGAGCAGCTGCTTGAGTTGTATGACTTCGTGAAGGATGAGGAAAATATCGATCCAGATGACGCAGCGACGATTTCTGTTCAAGTTGCTCTTTTTCCCCGCTTTGCTGCTTTAGCAGGAAAGGGGGAGGCACACACGATTACCGACTTCCACCGCGTGAAGGAGGCAGCTGATAATCTTCTGAAGACAATGAAGAGGAGGAGCCGCGATTTTGAGCCCGCCCATCTGGCAAGTGCGGTGTGGAATATTGCAGCTTATGGAATCACTGACAAGTCATATTTCATCCATTTTGAGAAAGAAATTAGGAGCCGGAATCCGAGCTTATTTACCCATAGGGATCTGTCTATGATTATGTGGGCTTATGGTAAAGTACAGTTTCGGGCATCTTTGTTATACAAGAAGCTAAGACATGAAATCATGGCTAGAGATCTGGCAAGATTCACAGTTGAGGAAATGTGCAATATTGTGTGGGCCTATGCACGGACAGGAGAGCCAAGTGCCAAGCTGTTTTTTGTGCTGAAAATAGAAATTTTGAGACGGGATTTAACAGAAATTGAGGAGAGTTCCCTTATCGTAATTCTATGGTCCTATTCTGTGATTGCTGTAAATATTAAACCTCTATTTAGGGCAATCAAATATGAAATTTTGCGTCGTGGACTTCACTGTTTCACATACAGGCAGCTGTCGCAGATTGTAGGCTCTTATGCTCGGCAAAACATGCACGCTCCTGACCTATTTGAAACAGTCTCTTCTGAGATCATGCAACGTGGTGTGCAGAACTTTGAGCCAGGGTGGCTTGTCACAATTGCAGACAGTTTTGCAAAAACTGAGAATCACGAACAAGATCTTTTCAAAATCATAGGAGACCACATTATGAGTGTTGATCTTTCAGCGTATGAGCCTCTTCAAGTTATAAGACTTTTCTGGGCTTTCATCAATGCCGGCTTCCTTACAAAATCACTCCACAACAAACTAACAAACCAGATACTTCTTTGCGACTTTCCAAAATTAAAGGACGTAAGCCTGGAAGAGCTTGTAAAGGCGTTAGAGAACAATGACTTCAAGGCCCCAGAACTTGTGGCAGCATTAGAAGCTGAACTTGTGAGGAGATCAGAGGCAAAATGTTAACAAAGAGCAACATATGCATCATGAATATTCATAGAGATGGTTGATCTGTGAGTGACTTTGTACACAGTCAGTGCTAACTTGATCAAGTGTTTTCTAGTATCCTTTTTCAGGCGGTGAGATCAAGCAAGTGATTGAGCGAGCAAACAATCACGCCTGGGGAGAAGAGGGGAGGGGGTTAGCAAGAAAGGGGAGGGGTTGGGGAGGAAAGGACTTGCCTGCAGTCATTCCCAAACATTTCATCAAACTCTATTCGCTCACAAACTGAAAGCAATGGTGCAATTTGATTGGTTAGTGGCCCACCAATCAAAAAGTGAGATCAGAAATATAACAGTTATGCATAATCTGACATCCAGAAGATTGAAATATCACCGAGTCTGAGAAAGTTTTCAAATTTTCTGTTCAGGAAACGTTGAAAGATCTTTTGCAAAATTGCAAATCCATTGGTTTGAAACAGGAGCAGGAAGCTGCCATTGAGAGACTAGTACATGGAAAGGATGTTCTTGCAATTTTACCGACTGATTTTGGTAAAAGCACCATATATCAAATACTCACGAGAGTGAAAATTTCAAAAGATTCTGCCTGTGTTCTCATGGGTCCATTTTAGAGCTTGAAGGAAGATTAAATGGTGGAGGTGAAATCCATGGGCCTTGGCAAATTCCTTACCAGAAGCTTCCCTTGCAGATGTGGGAGCAGGGAAATTTCAGTTGTTATTCTCGTCCATTGAAAATTAATTTACACCGTTATATTAAGAACTTTTCCCACACTGAAGCTTACTTTTGATTTGTTCTAGATATATCTTTTTATTGATTACGTATTTTTTACTTACAGGAACAAAAAGCTAGGAAAACAGTACTTCTGACATTTTGACCTTTAATGCTGCAATCATATTATCTCAAACATTAATCCAGAAAAGTTTGCCTGTGGGTCAAATCTCCAGTAAAATAGTCTTTAGGTCTCTAAGATTAGTTATTGTAATTGAAAATTATAGGTACCAGGCAGCAAACGAGTATTTTATTTTCATTTTGAATAATAATACATTTGGCGGTTGCCGATGGTGACTAAAGATAATGCAGGCAACAAAAATGATTCACCTGAAGTTAACGATCATTGGTTCTCATGTGACAGTTGACACCTCGAGGGAGCGTGGCATGTTTGGGCTGGTTGGTAAAATGTCTGGGATTGCTTGCCCTAGCCCCTCTCCCTGCTCCTTATTCTTTTGCACTCAGTTTCATTCCCTTGGGGTATTCAAATAATGAATGCCTGCTGCGCAGGCTTGTGCAAAACCTAGGGAAATTACTCTTTCAATTCTTTCAATTTTCCAAATATTGTGTACCTTTCCACTGGTCGAACAGAGTATATACTAAGACCCTGCCCCCTTTGTTGAAACAAGAAATTGAAGTCTTCATTCTGAGAGATGCTCTTTTGGCTTGTCACACAATTGTCCTGCCGCCCAAATGGGAGAAAGCAATTGTGTGACTAGCCCTAAGAGAGCCTGCGTATGAGGTTAGGCTACACCCTCTTAAATATATCAAGATCTGTCTCAGGAAGGGAGACGAGACTGGACAATCCTGTGTTACTATCTGTTCTTACAAACTTCGTTATTGCTTGTTATCATTGAAGAATTGAATTGAATTGTGACATCATGCAGTATGTGGCATGCAGCACTTGCTAATATTGAGGATTGAATTAGTTTACGGATCTATTGAAAAGTTTGCAATAGAATGTCACATGTATGTAGTTTTAGCTCCCAGGAGGAATTTGTAAAGTTAAGGTTACAGAAACCACTTGTTGTAGTTGCTCAATTAAGTGCCATCCTTGAATAAGCAGCACTCTTTGAAAATCTGTTTTTAAGTGCTACCCTCAAATGAGTGTATTCAATTAAATAGTTGAGTTCTAAAGCAAGCTCTGTGTAGCTACTAAGACTTTGAAAGGGGAAAGAATGCCACATTTTGAAAAAGTGTCATATCTGTTAAGACATTTTTGAACTGTTTTGGAGATGACAATAAAAGTAAAATTCTTTGATCTTCTCAAATTTCAGCAAATTTAGCAAGGTGGTATTTAACACGTCAATGCCAAAGCTGTGTTAAAAATTCTAATGTTAAAAAAATATCTCTTTTCAAGCCACTATGTAATTTTTCTTGTATTATAATTTTATTACAGACAAAATGACTGAGTACACAAACACAACTGTGGAAAAGCACGAAGCAACATAGTCAATATCCTCACCAGTGAGAACATTGAAAATACACCACCTGGGTTCTGGATGTAGTCTCATATGACTTTCCAGAGTGGTGTATTTTCCACTCTGTGTCATTACGAGGAGGTAGCCAATTTTATGAGGGGTAGGGTAGAGGAGACTCAGAGATGGGAAGTAACAAGTTTTTGTATGATATCCTAAAAGGAACCCTATCCCCACCCCACCCCTTTTGTGGGTGTCACTCTAATTCATCTTCATCCCTAACGGGAAGAAGTTCACCGTGAGTTTCCCAATCATACACGTTCCCTGTCCATTTTTTCTTATTTTTTTTTAAATTTTGGTGAGCTCGAATGTGGAGCAGTTCTTTACTAGCCCAATCCCACGCATGTTGTTATTACTTTTCCATGCATTCGTTCATGCGCTCTCAACATCTTGCGTCCCCGAGCATGTTCTCTCGTACGTTCGACCGTGTTCCTGTGAGTTTCCTGTGCGTTTTCTTTCGCGTTACACTGAATCACCCTGCCGAACCCTGTTCGTTCCTAGGCCGCTCTTCCGCCGATGCATTTTCGCGTGAACTGCTTGTGGGTTTGTCAGTCAATGCATTTCCTCGTGCGCGCGTAACACTATCGTTCCTTGCTTGTTTCTTTGTGTCTATTCCAGTGCGTTCCCAAAGGCTTTCCGGCGCGACTCCTAGGTGCTCCCTCTGGTGTATTCCCGGTGCTCTCCCCGTAGGTTCCCACACAAGTCTCCTGGTAAGTTTATACATCGCACATTTTTCGTCTGTCTTGTCTTGCCCATCCTAGTGCGTTCCCTTATGTAATCGATGGTATTAAAGTTTTGTGCAAGCCAGATTTTGATTTTGGATTTGAAATTGCGCATCGTTTCTAGGAAAACCACAAGAGCGTATTTGCAGAACGCACTTCTCTCTTTTCTTCATGCTTTTTTGCTTTTTTTTTTTTTTTGCTTTAATTCTTTTTTATCTTTAAACAAAAATGATAGACTACTGTAGATACGCAAATGGCCAGGTCTGAAAATGGTCTGGAAAATGATGTAGTCTACCCTGAAATACTGCCAGATTGTCAAGACGAGGTCGCTCGCTCTTACTCTCTCCTGCGACCTCAGACCGTCTGAAAACCTCAGGTTATCTGAAATAGGGAAAGCATTTGAATAACGTGGCAGTAACACCCCCACCTCCTCCCAGACATACACTTGACCTGCCATCGACAACTAGAAGAAGTAAGTTGAACCGGTTAGTTTATTTGGACATAAATAGTGGATTGATGCTTGGCATTTTCGTGACCGTTATATCTTAGTTTCTACAACTTCTTATCGTCTTTTGAGTGTTGAATTTTAAGAATTTTAATTTAACTTCCCTTCCAGCACGCCTCCTATCTGCGCTCTAACGAAATCTTTTGTCAGTGGTTTCTTCGGTAACGTTTATCGTTATTTACACAGCGATGTATAAAAGTTTCCACCAGCATTCATTGGTCTTCAGTTCTAGTGCTGTGAACAAGCCCATAAAAGAACGAGCGCCTGTTTCCCAGCAACACTTGCGGAGTGTCAAGCTCTAGCACAGTCCCCCGATCCATCACGAGAACACGGTCACTGTCCATGATAGTGTCAAGCCTGGGAGAAAGAACATTGTATTTATGATAATGTATTACTGAACTAACGTACACTTCTATTAGAGTGACGTGGAAGCAAGGGGGGGGGGGGGCACCTAGGGTTCAAAGTTATGTCATCATCATCATCATCATCTTTCTTGTAACACCACAGGGGGGGATGTGTGAGGCTGCAAGGGTTCAAAGTTATGTGCTGTGGTTTAACTCCAGTGTACACAAAAGGGTTAAAGACAAACCCCAAAAGGCAAAAGATAAAACAAACTGATTCCTCAATTGAAAATAACGTTCGTGTGAATGTTAACCTGTGAGCGATGGTCAAAACAGTGCTGTCTCTAAATTCACTTTTAATTGTCTTTTGGATCAGCTGGTCGGTTTCAAGGTCAACGCTTGCTGTTGCTTCGTCAATACACAGCACCTGAAATACACAAACCATGGTTGCCACGTCACTTTTCAAAATTCCCTGACTATTCACTGACTTGACCCTGTTAAAAATAAAATTTCCCTGACCAAATAAATACGAAATGTCAGATATAGTGGCGGTTTCTGGCCTGCCCTGAGAGCCGTCCTCGTCAGTTTTTTTAAATTTCCACCTTCTTTATTAAAGCATCGTTGGGACTGCAGTGACCCGAAATGTTTCATTCAACCTTCAAAGGTATCAAATCAACGCTGCTGCTATATTTCATTTATTTTTCCCTGGCTTTTCCTCAAAATGTCAATTTTCCTGATCCAATTTTCCAATTTTCCCCGGCTTTTCCTCAAAATGTCAATTTTCCTGACTGAAAAATGAATTCCCTGACTTTTGCCTGACCTAAAAGAATTGATTTTCCTGACCATGTCCCGACCCATGGCAGCCCAAAGAACTTTATTAGTAAATAGAACTAACATCAGCGATACAGTCCCACCCGCAAGAGAGCTTGCACACAACCCAACTCTCCCTAGAGCGCGACGATGACATCGACGATATTTTAACTGTGCAGTCAATAAAAAAAAAAAAAATTGATCCACCAAAAAAATAAATAAATAAATAAAAGCATGAACATACTCCGAAAGTTTTCTTGGCAAGTTCGACGCCATCAGATCCTTCGTCCCCCGTGTAGTCCCTCGTGGGGTCCCCCGTGGAGGGTTATGTTACTTAACCACAAACTCTCAAAACTCTCGGGCTCATTTTGATCTCAATTCTCTTTACCGACTGTATACATTTCTTTTAACGTCAGTTCAGAGAATTAAGAATTACATCACATTATCTCCAACTTGATGATTACCTTGGCTCTTGTCAGGAGTGCTCTTGCCAAGCATACCAGTTGCCGCTGACCAACCGAAAAATGGCGCCCGCGTTCACCTACGTCAGCGTCAAGGCCGCCTGCAGAGAATAAGAATTCCCTTCTGATTGTAAACAAGTCACAAAAAAGCTAGTGGAGTCCACTACTGACCGCTCCTAAGTTTAGCACAAAACAGATGGAATGCAGAAGATCTAAACATACCGAGTTCTCTTACAGATTGGAGAAGGTGACATCGCTCTAAGACCGTCCACAGCTCAGCATCGGAAAACTGCCAAACAAAATAATAATCGGCTTACATCACCCACTCTGATTGGTCGAGGGTCGGTGAGTTTTTCTCGTATCTTTACAACAACGGAGTAACTATTATTTCTGACCAAACAAAGACTTCCGAAAGCTTTCGCGAGCCATTTCTAAAAATTTCCGATGACCTACGACAGCTCTGAGGACTCTGAGGAATGGTGGCCTAGTTATGAGGTGAAAAACTCTTGTTGAACTCGAATTCAACCATAACCTGAAATGACCGACACTAAATATTTACATTTTCATGACATGGATTGAATCAAATGTATAATTAGCCCACTTTCTCGTACTTGTACACTTCATTTGCGTGTATTGTGTTATCAAATGACTTCTACTCGGGC